AAATTATTACATTTGCTATCATTTAGTTTGCACACAATGTGCTTTAATGGCTCTTAGTAATGGTTATTTTAATAGCTATTACTGTAAACTGTAAAATTTGTTGACAAATGAACTCCACAGGGGACCTTACACGTAATCTGTAAGAATCCACAGACGGACCAGTTTCTCATTTAACACTGGTCTGTGTTATCTGGCCATGACTGCTTCATTTCAGCACACTGTGCCAAACTGGCTTGAACATATCGCCCAGGCTCTCTAGTTTCTTCACAAGATAACTAACCCAGGGATCACTCAGAAACATCCCAGGGACTGGCACTGGTTTCTGGCCCTGGCTGTACAACCGCTGTACAGACAGTGCCATATTTGGGATCTGCCAGAATTGCTGTGCTAAGATTGTGGTGGTTAAACAGTTACGCCACTCTGGACACTATCGGTTCAGTGGTGGCAGGGTGTTTTGTGGTGCCTGCCCAGCCATGTGGTTTGAATTAGTTTACAATGTATTTCTAAATTAGGGGAGATAAGATAGACCATTTGAAATAGTCAGAGTCATGTAATCAAAAAATGGCAATGCATAGCAGCTTGTGGTAAAATAAGCCTCAGTACTGGAGTTCTGCCTTGTCTCCTTTCAGAGACAGTGTTTACTGAGAGCTATAGCATTGTAGGCTTAGACATGACTTCACTGGACGGATCTTTGTTTCATACTCTGTCACTCCCATATCCGGATTTGTTTTTTCCCATTTTACACTATTTTTTCTGCTTTTTATGTTCTTAAAGTACCGCTATACGTTCTCTCTCTACCCTGTCGTCATCTGTCTCTCTCCACTTTTCTCAGTTGTTCTTGCACTGTGTCTGTCTGTTTCCCTTCCAGGCGTGGCCCATGTCAAGTTAACAAGACCAGACAAGGATAATTCCCTGACTCAGTCTGTGGTTTGCTTTTTCCCTCTGTTCTTCGCCCTCTTTCACTCAGTCCCTCGGTCATCCCTCAGTCCTCTCTCATCCATCCTGCAGTTCAGCTGCATTACATGGTCTTTTCATTTCGACGGCTTCTATCCATCTGTTTTACCCCTTCCGTTTTCCTCCTTTGGCGGGCAATGTATTCTACTCAGTTATCTGTTTATTGTGTCGTCTGGTCTCTCATTCGTGCCTTCCATCCAACATCAGTCCATCCATCTGGCTTTCTGGGTCTCTCTCTATCTTTATCAGACTGTTAGCTGATCAATCTGTCTTTCTATGCATCCGTGTGTCTCTGTTGCTGTCCCCTCTCCTAGTCAACCCTTTCAGCCCTGCCTCCATCCCACCCCATCTGTGCCAATATCTAATTAGCTTCATCCCATCATTTTCAGTCTTTCATTTGATCCTTCCTTCCTCTCTAATGATCCATTCCTCTTGTATTCTCCTTGCTTTTCCCAATATGTCATTCATTGTTAAACACAAGCACATATTCTTTTTAAGGTCATATTTGATATATGTGGCTTCCACATGTCACCCTACCCAAAAGAAACAGAATAGCACCACAGAAATCAAAAGATTACACAAATGTCAACAAACAAGTCAAACATGATAGTTTAGTAGGTTTTTCTTTCCAACCAAGAAAGAACATCTTTAAATAAACGGCTGCAGCTCTGAAGCTGAGCTGAAAGCCTGACTGTACTGGTGGAGGTCTGGAGCAAAGTTGATTACTATCAATACATGAGTCTTCTGAACAACTGCTAAATATATAACACAGACAGCATCTCTATTGAGCTACGGCCCTCTGTGGTAAAGGCACAGCATGGAAGAAAAAAAAACACAAAAACTGAAAGATATTGTCCTAAAGGCAAATTCAGATTTTCCACCCAAATGGCGCAGATTGTACACAAGGTTCAAATAGACCCAATGTTTATCACATTGCCTAACCCATATGGAAATCGCATCTGATGAAAAACATGCCATCGTGTCAGTAGATACAAACACCAAATGTCATATAAATAAAGCAGCATATATTGTCTTTAACAATTTAACTCTACATGCAAATACTTGCCTTATTTTGAGAATTAAAATAAATGTAATTAACATCTATCAATTTTAATTTATATAAAACCTGAATTTCTGTTTTTCAGAGAAAAGCAAATCTAAGTTTGTCTAATGACACAGAAGCAAATCAGGCAACAACAACAACAACAATAATAATAATAATAAATGTTATTTATAGGCACATTTAAAGATCCTCAAGGTAAATTTACATTAGTACAACAAAATAAAAACATGAGGAAAATGAGAACTAATAAAAAAGTACGAAAGTATAAAAGCTAAACAATAAGCTAAAGTCAATCTGTATGCAGATTTTACTGTAGGTAGATTATTCTGAACAATTCCAACAAAAAGTTGACGGTTTAAATGATTCAAATTTGAAATATCTGATGCAGAGCCAATCTGGCCCTTGACCTAGTAAACTGTGGCTTAAATTTTCTTCTCCTTAATTTACTTAAGGGATTTGTAGAATAGAATAGAATAGAATAATCCTTTAATTGTCCCACAAGGGGGAAATTTGGTAGTTTGATGTAGTATGATGTAATACCTTAATCCTAAACTTAAATTCATTATGAGCAGGCTGCATATTATCAAAAGACCACAGTCTCCTTTTCTTATGACTTTGTTTTTATCCAGAGAAAGTGTGAAAAAAAAACCCTCAAAGGAAGAAAATCACTCAGAATATACAGCAAGGAGAATGAAGAGTGAGTGAGAACCCCCCCCCCACACACACACACACACTTTTATACACTGTAAAAAGAAATAACAGTCTAACAGTATTGTATTTGGATTAGCAGAGTGGTGGACTCACCCTACCCTGTGCAGTAAACACTGTCTATGTACAGTAAATATCTGGTCTAATATGGCGTTTCATTACAAACACCCACTAGCTGTTTTTGATACTATGTAGTAACATAAATACACATATGTTTGTGCTGATGAGCCCATGTTACCACTTGTATAAGGTTCTCTGTGTGTTATAAATCCAAAAACCACTTGAGGTAATATTGTATGCAGTTTTTCATATTGTAACTTTGACATTGTATTAGCCCTTTCTCCTCTTCTTATATGTGTGTGAAATAAATCTATGGATGACATCACCCTCAGTTTATTTTACAGAGCACCCTGTAGCCTTCAGACGTGAAGTTGAAAAAACTTAACACTTAGTAAGTTGTGTAACAACAGCTTACATCACTAATACTGCTTGAAACAGGATACACTATTTGACGTTGCTTATTTCAGGGTTGCATTAAGTGACTGCTTATTGTATCAAGTGACTTATTATTTAAACATTTGAACTGATGTTTATGACTTGTGTTACAAAACAATGCATATCTTATTTCAGTTGGATAAAGCGACCAAATATAAGTATAATAACACTAAAAGGCCTCACAAAATTGTTCTATTACTGCTAAGAAAATGTTGTCATGTTCTTTTCCTTGATGATCTTTGTTTTTTATTATGGTCTGTACTATAAGGGAATTTTTCTAGAAACTATGATGCACTTGCTGTTTTTGCAAAAATATGTAGGCAGATCTGTGTGTGGATGACTAAACCACTGAAATCCATTTTCTTGGTGACCTTAGTTTTTAGCACGTGTATGTGTATATATGCATATTTTCTGTTATTTTTTTTAATCACTTTGAATCCCTGTAATGTTTATCGAGTGGCTGTAAACTCAAAAATATATGTCTATGTGAGTGAATGCTTTTTGTAATCTTTAACCTACTGTTTACTCTTTGAACCTTAGTAATTGAATTTTTTTTCATCATGGTTTTTGGGGAAGGTATGCATCTATGTGCTTTTTATTTTTCAAAGTGTGCTTAAAGTAATGCATTTCCACATCGGAGTAAATTCAGTAATAAGTCTGCTTACATTAGCGAGATAAAAGTGATAGAATAGTGGATGGACCTTTATTCTCTCATAGGTACTTAAGGCATGCTTAAACTTGACCTTCATAATGATTCAAATAAGTGAATGTGAATTCCAGGACTGTGAAGGACAGCTTTTCTGTTTTATTTAGCCTACCTGTACACAGTGGTTGGTGGGTAGTTGGCGATGTCGTAAATAAGACGTATGTGTCCCTGATAAAGCTCAATTGCCAGAGGATCATGGTCCTCCTTGTACAACAAAATACCGTTGTCTTTGTCTGTAGCCACCTGGAGAGAGAAAAACATTGGACACAAAAACAGCCGTCAAAAATTACAGAATTTGATACACAGTCCGTCATATTTTTCACATTTCATTTAATTCAGTAATCATCTGGTAAAAGGTCATAGTGGCATATATAGAAGGAAATAGACCTGAATTGTTCATTTTTATTTAGATACAAACAGGGCTTGTGTGCATATGACGCTATAATATCTGCGTGTATAACAACATATATAATAGCATCATGTGATAATTCATTACATCATTTAAGCAAATCAACTTCAAGTTAGCTAGTTAGCTAAATTAGCAAGTTAGCTAGTTAGCTAACTTGCTAATTTAGCTAACTAGCGAAGAAAATCTTAGTTAGTTAGCTAACTTGCTAATTTAGCTAACTAGCGAAGAAAATCTTAGCTAGTTAGCTAACTTGCTAATTTAGCTAACTAGCTAAGAAAATCTTAGCTAACTTAAACTTGTTTTACTCAAGTGATGTAAGTGAGGTGGGTATGCTACCCCAAATTTTTTCTAGTAAAACAAAATTATGTCCCCTGTTCAACTATAAAACAGATTGCTCACTGCTCCCAAACGTACACTTTTATTTTTTTTACAAATTTGAAAAATATGGACCTCCCGACCTCAGAAATGATCTACTCTGTGAAAAGCTAATACTTTGCTTCAGTTAAGATTGCTGATGCATATCTGACTCACTGGAAAGCAGGTTAAATGGGTGTCTGATTTACGATGGTTATTTTATACCATCAACTGTAACACATTTAAAAAGAAATTCCACCACACTTGTCTCAGAAACACACTTGACATGTCACACTTGCTCGCGTGCTCCTTTAAGCGCTAACTAACTAGCAAGTGGAAATGGGGCCATGGGGCCAAGCACTTAACACTCTGGCGTCAATGGAGCATAGCCAAGTCAACACCTGCTAACAAGCTGCTGGAAAAAAGAGAAAGCCACGCAGGCCAAAAAGAGAAAAAGGGGGGAAGAGGTGTAAAGTACAAAAAGTGAGAGAGCAAGTGAAGTGGAAGAGGGAGGAAAGAAGAAGATGCAGATACGTGGATGAACAGAAAATTTGGATGCAGCCTTAAAGAAAAGAAAAAAGTGAAAAAAGGAGAGGGAAAAAGCATATAGTAATTTATGAAGTGCAGTGGCTCTTTCATTCTTCTATTTCTCTCTCTTACCACTGACTCAGGGCCTCTTGGTAGAGTTTTAATAGCCTTGGCCCTGACATTGAAAAGTCCTGGCAAGAACGCAAAAGCACACGCACACACATGCACAAGCACAAGCCCCCATGGTTCCAAACAGGTGGTAAATATCAATTAAACCACCTTCCTCTTCCTGTTTCTCTTTCTCTGCCTACTTTATTTCTCATTTCAATAAAAAAGAAAAATATGTCTCCATTAGGACCTCTCAGGTGTCCAAAATGTATGGTCTGTGTGAATGTGTATGTGTGCATGGGCACGGTGCTCAGTGTGCCATGGAAACAGAGGGTGGAGCAGATGTTGGCTTTGCTTCATCTGCACTAACTCTATAAGCTTGATTAGAATGTCTCACAGCTCTATTTCAAGCGGCACGGACATCTTTTAAGAGGAGTGCTGCAGAATATAGCGTTTGCACTTTTGGGTTTGTTTCAAAATAAAAGCTGACTGTTGGATTTGTAAACCTTGAAAAACAAAAATGAATGCACAGAGGTCAAAGGTTAAGCCTACCTGTAACGAAATATGCGCAGTTGGGCGGAGTTTTGCAGCTGGCAGCTCCACATACCCGTCGCGACCCAGGAAGTGAACAGTGGCCATTTTGTCGCATTTGCTGCCATAGAAACCGGGCATGCAGCGGCAGATGGGCTCCCCAGCAACCACCAGGCACTGGGCGCCGTTTTGGCAATCGGATTGGTCGCAGGGGCTGGTCTGCAGCAAGATCATTGGTGGCGGGTTCTCACAGAACAGCCCGCTGACGCAGAAGTAGATTAAACAGAAGATAACTTATTTATAGAGCGTTAATTGGATGATTTGTTTATTATGTGACAAAAGTTGTTTACTACTTGTTTTGTAATTTGTCTCTTTGAATTACACGAGGAGATTGCAGTGGCTAAAACAGAAAGCTAATAATCTTGAAATATTGAATCGGGGACCTTTCCTTCCAAACAGATTCAGTATATTTTCTTGTTTTCACCTGCATCATTCTGAATCTGTGAAACAGAACTTTTCTTTGAACGTTCCTATTTTTCCCATACAGTCATTTTCTAAAGGCTCTCTCTTCCCTTCCTTTCCTTTTCCTCTGCATACCTATGACTTTCTCTCTGTTTTTCCCCCCTCAGCCTCTGGTGATGAATTTGTTTCTCTCTCGCCAACAGTCCCTGCTATAATTAACCACATGGTGCTGCATCTGCAGCACACACACGCGCGCAAACACACAGATGCACGCAGTAGGTCGAAACAGTCAAGTCTCTGATTATGAAGTGCCATCTGTATCCCCTCCCAGTCTGGCCCTCCAGTCTTTCACTGTGTTTGTGTCTGATTTGTTTCCATGACTCTCACCTGAAAGCCTCTTTACAGACGCAGGTATAGCCATTGACGGCGTCCACACACTCCGCTCCGTGCTGACACTTGTTCTCCAGACAGTCATTATAGTCCTGCTCGCAGTGCTGGCCCACGTAGCCTGGTAAACACTCACACCTTGAGTGACATGGAAATAAGGATAAAATTACACAGTGTGTGGGCAACAGACTTTTCCTCTTGCCTACAGGTGTTTTACTGCATGAAGAGGTGACATGTTTGGTTTGTTTCTGCAGCTCAGTCAGTAACAGAGCTCTACTTTTATACCACATTTTCCCATTTCTCATGGATACGTGTGGGAAAAATATTTTTATATCAGTTCCACATTCGTAAAACATTATCCACACAGTAATGAGGAACAAACAGAATCGGCATCAAGTGAACACTTTTTAATGATCTTAACTCACTAATTAATTTAGATACTTATGAAATTATTATAGATCAATGTGAAAAGATTCTGCAAGAAACACATTAATTGACAACACGTTCTCACTCCCAAAGCGTAACATTTTACACTAGGTGACAAATCGTCAACATATTACGTTTTCGGCTACCCACCACGTTCCTAAATGACGACCTCGGAAAAATGAGGAAATATGAGAACCGTATGGACTCAATCTACTACACATGTTCGATCTTTTTCTTCAAATTACTTAGAAACACGCTATTTAACATCATTAAAGTCCTGCACTGTCCTGCACAGTCCTTGCACTCCATGATGGAGTGCAAGTTTAATCAAACTTATAAATTAAAGTACACACTGACCAAAAAAGGGAAATGTATATTCTAGTGGCTATATTATAGTTTCAGATGTGGACCAAGAAAAAAAGTTTTAAAAGCGAAACATATTATCTCTGACAGCCACCTTCAGTGCATCTCTGTCTGCTGATATTCTTACCTTGAATCCATACGGACAGGTGCAGTCTGATAGTCTGATATTTAATCTGATAGCATAATAATTCATTATTTATAATTGATAAAAAGATTGACTATAGCTTTATACTGTATAAAAGGTTTAAACACACACTTTCAGGGTAATATAACATTTTCCCCTATAAATGCTTTCACTTGTATCACAAAAAGCTAGCTTTAACATGGTGAGCTCACAACATGGTGAGCTCACAGGGATCATAATAATGTAACTGTTGCCCACCTGTAACCACGGCCAACACGAAGGCACTTGGAGTCATGCTGACAGGGGTCAAAACCAGGGAGACAAGGGTCAGTAACCTCGTCACACAGGTCACCTGATGAAAAAGAAAACATTTGCTGTCAGCAATTTAGAAACTGTGAGGCGTAATCATATTTTAGGCTTATGTTTTATGCCTGCTGCATCATCACTGAATGATCGGAATAAATATTTTCAGAATTTATGTGGGGAAAAAACTGTGAAGGTAAACAGAAAAATAACACTCCAGAAGAAAGATGGGAGTAGGGGGGCACACTAAACTTTTCACACATACTCTGTAATCTTCAAATAGCAGTAGGGGGAAAAGCATCCTGGTCAAGGCTTTAGATGTGCTGTGGATGTCCTCATGCACAAAGGGAATAGCGCTATCAGCATTTTCTCAGACCTGATGGAGAAGGGGGTTAATGCTCTCTGTAAAAGTGGAGGCGGTCTAAAAATGTACACATACACATGCTGAAAGGGTGAGAAGGGTTAACAGTGTGTTGAAAAGCAGTAGTTGAAGTTAGTGGTAGGAAGGAAGCGGGTATTGAGAAAGGTCAAGCACATTTCCATCATTCTCTGCCTGCTTTCATCTAATCCTGCTGCCTTCCCGCCCTGTCTGTCTCCAATACCCTCCCCTCAAATCACTTTATGCACAGGTTTTTTCAGCTACACTAAACCGCAATTTCTGAAAGGATGTTTGACTTGTAAAAAAAAGAAAGAAAAAAAAAAAGCATGCTGTGAAAGTAAATTTTAATTATTCAGTCTTTGAGCTCCCTAAGCAGACTATTTCACACTTCAGGCACTTTGTTAAAGATGCCAAAATTAATTCATCAATGTGGAATTACCTGAAATACCTTAGAATAATTAGCATATGCAAATGAAACTGATGTTAGACATGATTCACCTGATTTATAATCATTTTACACAATAATATGATCATATGAGAATTGTGGGAGATTTTAACAGATATAAAGACACAAACTGTTGACACAACATCTATGCAACTTGGTTTATCTTCCACCAAGGAGGCTAATGAAGCGAAGGTATGTGATCTTTGTGCTTTAGTGCTGCTTATTTCAGGAACAAGGCATCAGAGGTGGAAAACTGGGGACATGCAGAGTCCCAGAGCAACATATCTGAACATTGTTGAGAATTTTCTAAAATACTGATCATCTTATTGCCTTTTTCACACCAAATTATTTAATACTTTTTTTATTTCACAAAGGATTAATTATATTTTCTTGTGACCTCCTGACCTTTCCTCCATCATCTGTCTAAAATGGATTTTTTTTTTACCATAATCAAAATGCTAGTGTGACATTTAAATTGTCGAACACATTAAAGAAACCTTAAAACAGCTGTTTCAAAGGTCTGATGACATTAAATCTGGATTTTTCTCTCTGTGTTGCAAATATGACGTGACAGTCCTGGTTGCTGAGTTTGGAGAAAGAGTGACTAGCAAAGTACTGTCCTCTTAATGTGACACCTGATGATTGCGCTGCGGTTCACTGAGCTAAGTGTGGAGTTCGGTGCCAGAGGAACCAGCTGTGCGCATGAACGTGTGTGTTTGTGTGCAACAGCTGTATGCGGTAAGGTAGCTGGCAGCGTGCGAGGTCTCTGAGAGCCAACGACGATAATGACACGGTGTGTGTGCTGCTGAGTGTGTATTGACTGAGGTTCGGTGTTAAAGGGGACCTCGTGTTTGTGTGTGTCTTAGAGGACACTGTTACACACAGAAAAACTTAAATTCAGAGTCAGCAGTTGAGCTTCAGCGTGCCGGACTCTGCCAGGGCAGCTCTCGCTCCTCTCAGCCTTTGCCCTTTATCGGCGATTTCTTTACCCTTTCCGTTGCTCTGTTTATTTTTCCCTTTCCCTCTAGTACACAGTCAATCTTTGCCATTTCACTCTCCTTCTCCTTCTGTCTCCCCCCTCTCTGTCTCTCTCTCGCTCATGTGATTGCTCTTTAAACCTCCTGCAGGAACAGTTTCAGGTCACTGCAGAGAGCCTGTCTATTACTAACTTACCATCCAGTAAACTGGAAAATATGATTTTGTAAGTGTGGGACTTGGTGACCCTCCCAGCCTGTCGGGGGCAAAGACTGAGGGGACATTATTGAAAGTTTTTGTGTGTTTGTGTGGGTCTACCTGTGTAGTTTGGAGGACAGACGCAGGTGTAGTTGTTGATCCCATCGATGCAGGTGGAGTTGTTCTCACAGTCGTTGTCTTCGCAGTCGTCTGGGTTTATCTCACAATGTTGGCCCTCAAAACCTGGCGGACACGCACAGCTACACATGCAAAAACACACAAAATGTGTATTATTACCAAGATCTGAGAGCTCATCATCAGCTCCTCTTAAATCCTCCTGTGAGAGAAGTTTAAAGAAGAACTATTGAATCTGTAGTTAATATTCTTACATCCTTTTCATTTAGAGACTCCGCTTCACATCTCATTAAATTCCAACAAGTTGCAGCTATTCCTGCAGCACGCATACTTCCTGTTAATCTATTTTCTGCGATAAAGATTAGGGAGAATCAATCCTCCCTTTCAAACACAGCCTTTTGATTTATGTCATCTCTCTTTCCTGATGGGAGATGTTTTATTAATAAATATCAGTCGAAACTCCTCAGGCTTCTACTGTCTATTACAGCTAAAGAACAAAAACTTTCAAACAAAACACCCACCTCCAGCTAAAAGGAAGAAAAAAAAGAACAAAAAATGCTGAGATACGCTTAGTTTGATGCCACTACGGTTGGACGCCGCCCACCTGGACCACTCAAAGGGAATTATCAAAGCTTCCTCCTCTCCTCCACTTCTTTCCCTCACCCACCTCTTTTCTCGTCGGCCCTTGATCTCTTCCCCCTTTTCACCCTTTGTATCTCAGTCAGGATAACTCCTTCAAACGGATCACAAACACGCACACTACCTTTAGGTGAAGATCACTCACCCACACACAAACACTCTAAGTCTAATAAATCCAACTGCAGCTGCCTTTGACTACTTGCCCTCTCTCTCACGACTCTGTTCTTCTGTTCGTCTCTTAGACACGATTGATTTAAATTACTTTTATTGGGAAAAACTGAATTTTACATTAAGTTCATCCAATAAATGAAGCAAGAGGATAGCTGCTTGTCAGTGACAATTATCAACCCACACAAACCCATTCACTCGTTTTTGTGGCACAATGCTTTGTCCTTCCCACTTTTTTGTACATACAAAATATGTTTAGTTCTTTCTCACCGCTTTCATTTCACTTGTTGCGAAATGAAAGCTTTGGTACCTACTTTGGTTCCTACAGTAAGGAGTTTTTTCTCATGTATCTCACTGGTTACCACCTCCCTATCTGTTTTCCAGTTTAGGAAACCTGCACTTAAGCCTTCACTCAAAATGACATAAAATAAATTTATATCCTAAGATATAATGAGCCTATTATTGCAAGCTGTTCAGGCTAAAAATATTCAGAAAAATGTGGGATACTTAAGCAGCAGAGACAAAGGGACCACTCCCAATCCAGATGACTTAATGAAGCAGAAGAAGAGAAAATAAAGGAAAAATAAAAGAAGTGATGAAGTAAAAAGAAAGGAAGAAGATATTAACTGTTCCCCATGAGAAAAAAGAAAGAAATAAAAACGCAAAAACCACTGACCGGGTCAAGGATCATCGTTTCACCAATCAAATCCAAGTCCTGACATTTAAATTATATAGTTTGACAAATGGAGCTGTGCTAAGAACCAGAGTTAATTGGACTTCCTGAATATGCCCAACTGATTATATAACATGTTAAAATGTCAAAGGGGCATGGTCTCCTTCCCTTACTGTCTCTCTCAGAGGTCACAGGGATCTACCTGTGTTTCTTTACCATTAAGGAATCATCTGAAAAGGGTAAAGAGACCCCTAATAGCATTACCACGCAAGCCTTTAAAGGCCAGAAGCATATCAGAGCTTTTCAAAGGGCAAAGGCCTTGTTACTGGGGTTGAGAAGGAGACAAATCTGGTAGAAAGATATATGACAATTGTTGCAATTACAGCCGCTGTTTGTCACAAGACTTGGACAAAGGGCGACGTTTTGGAGCGACGCTGATTACCCGGGCAGGCACGGTCGAGGATTCTCACACACACACAGATTGCATTTGTTCTACCGTGGGCGGTTATTAAGCAGGAAAATTGAATTTATATTCGAAAATATAACAAATCCAACTAGCAAGTCTCAAAGACTTCTTAAGTGAAATATAGCGTATTTGATGCGGTTTGATTCAATTTAATGGTGAAAAGGCCGTTTTGCTTAAAATGAACCACATTAAAAAGTCGAACCGCAAAGGGTCTGTTTTTAATTA